ATACTTAAAATTAACAAAACAATTCAATTTGGCATACAAACCAATATATAAGGCAAATTCTAGCTTAGGAATCACAATTTAAGCCTAAAATAAACACAATTTAATTTCGGAATTTCCACAAAATATTAATATTTTTAATTCCGAAAATTAATAAAATATTATTATTTAATTTCCGAAAATTAATAAAATAATAATATAATTAATCCAATAGATTATCACTAATCCCTAATCAATTAGTACTAAGAACAATTAACTTAAACTAATACATCATAAGCAAGTTTAACATACTAATCAAAGGATTAGTGCGAAAACTCTCCCGATTAAATTCTGGAGACACCGGTGTGTCGGCGGCGGCGAGGGCTACGCTTTGCACGGTCCGGAATCGACACGGAATGACGACACACGGCCGGAATAGGGCTGAACAGCAGCCACAGAACCGGTTTGGCTTCGGTGAGGCGATTTGGCGACGGAAAACGGCACGAACGGGTTGCGCACGGCGGCGGGGAGTCACGGCGTCGCTGCTGGTGGTTCTGGCCAGCAAATCAACAGCCAAAGGGGCTGAATGGTGGCTGAATGTGGCTGAGCAAAAAGGGAGGAAGGGGTTTGGCGTGAGGAAGGAAGAAGAGGGAGAGAGAGAAGAGATTTTTGGTGGAGAGTGAGAGAAATGGACGTGGGAGGGACAAGAGAGGGAACAAGAGAGATATTTCTCTCCTTTAATGCATGCCCTATAAGTCTTCATCATCATTCCCCCCACATAAATGCCAAACCCCCAAAGTCTTCTTCATCATTTTCTTTTGTTTCTTGGTCATAAATGCAAGAAGGGTATTTTGGTAATTTCACAAGGTATAAAATATTTATACGCGTATACGAGCTAGAATTTTGTACGGACTCGTATAAATCAAATTTGGGCTCAAACGGATTAGGAATGGGCTTGAAAATGCTAATGGGTTCAACTTGGGCTTGAAATTGGGCTTAATGGCTTAATGGGCCTCATTGGCCCACTTGGGCTTGCCTTGGGCCCAAATGGACGAATCACATTGGGCTTGGGGCCCAATGTGCATTCGTCCGGCCCACTTCCTTGTGGGCTCAAATTCTCGACCCGATAAATCCTTTTCCGAGAATTTCGAGTAAACCGATAAACGAGCAAATCAATGAGGCGGTGTCCAATGATTTAGTTTTGAAATCCTCGGAGATTCGACATCCAAATTCGGATTCTAATTCGTGGTAAAAATCAATCAATTGCGACTTTAGTATATCTTAAACTAACGGGCGGCTTTTAGGAGTTACGCGAATTCGACCGTGGTTGATTCGCTATCAAACCACGTTTAAGTTTTCTCGAACCATGGATGATCTCGATTGTCATGTAATTGTGAGGGGTCAATCACTAGTTCCGAAGTGCGTGATCATCAGTCAATGGGTTTAGGATCGTTCGCAATACATACAACGGTCAAGCGAAATCACCCGTGATCCGATTGTATGCTATTGGCGAATCGTTCTATAACCATCCCTTGATCGGTCTATAATGGCTCAAAATTGTCTCTCTTCAATCCTTATGGTCGAATTGTCAATCCCTGGTCGAGTCTCAGGTCATGCGTACTTAATTCCTTAACAGCCTTTCCCAATCGGTTAGTCTCTCATGAGTGATCAATTCAGAGCGAGAATTACTAATAGTGCATCGATTAAAATCATCATTTCATTACATTCCGAATAGGGTCGAATTTGAGGATGTCACATTGACACCAATAACCAATTAGGTTGTTGACAGTAAAAATAAATTTGGATAACAGAGATAAATACAAAATTGCATGGTAAAACACAGGTCCATCGATGAGAAATGACGTAGGCCACAAGTTTAGTTGCCGAAGATTACAGCAATAGACAGCTGTCAACCACTAAATCATGCCGGCGGGAAGTTTTGAGTGTTCGAAATTTGAAAAGACTGAAATCGAAAAGGGAACAGTTGTCGCCAGAGAATCCGTCATGTAGATTATCGACAAAACCGTTATTGTATGGATTTTAGGCCGTCAAAGGCATCAACAAGAATAAAAGCACATGGCTTTACACACGATCGATGGCAATTACTTGATACAGATGGACAGGTGTCATAAAAATAAAGGACGAAGACGAGATCGATGGTAGTTACTTGGCACAGATGGACAGGTGTCATAAAGATAGAGGACAAGGACAAGGTCAATAGTAGTTACTTGACATAGACTGACATATGTCATAAAAAGGGAGGATGAAGATGAGATCTATAGTAGTTATCTTACGGAGGTTAACAAGTGTCGCAAAAATGAAGGATGAAGATGAGATCAATGACGGTTATTTGACGTGGAGTGATAAATAGCACTAGAGGACGGTTATCATACTTACAGTATGAATACCATCCGATAGCTAGCAAAAGTCTCCCATGAACACACAAACCAAAATGCTATCTTTTTATCTTTAAACTTTCCGTACTGTACTTTCAATTTCCTTAGCTATAGTTATCTATGTTTCAAGTTTAGTATCAATGTAACATGGTACTGAATGAGTTCGAGTGTAATGCTGCCAGTCAATGACCGGTTGGATTTGTTCAAACTGGTTATGAAGCTTAAGTTTCTTATCGATCAAATATTGTCACTACTCGGATTCATATTGTTCGATTGAACCGAACAAGTTCCTTTTTCTCGCTTGGATATCTCCCGTCTGGAGTCGCCACTGAATCTGGTCTTCTCTCATAAAAAAATCGAAGAACAATGTTCGGTGAATTATATTTCGTCCCGGAAACAATTCCGGCGAAATAGATGCCTATTGATTTCTACTTTAAAACAATAGTTTCCATCCTCCTTTCCACAATGTATTAGAACAATTAAGATAATGGCCGAGTGGTCAAGTGTTCAAACCCGTCTTTTCGATCAAGTTTAGCTTGAATGTGATGTGGCATTAGTTATGCATTAAAGGGTCCTCTGCTCGTAGTAATCTTGACGCGTGAGTCGCCACTCATGAATCGAGCATTATCCGATAAACAAGGATGGAGCAATTATCTGCATTCATGGACATCAGTTGAATCTAGATATATGTACCACATTCGAAATACAACTAAATTGTGAGATTTTGTGGGACTAGTGTTAACTATTCTAAAAACTTAAGCTGTTAGATGAAGGCGTGATTTAATATTTAAGCTTTTAGAACAGTTGAAAGTGATTTAATATTTAATTGATAAGACAAATGGGTTTGAACTCAGGACTTTTAGCTCTGCTACCAGGTTGAGAAATGTGAATGAACAAAATATTATTTTTCTCTTCCGTTCACATTTCCCAACTTAAATAAATCACAATGCTATTTTTCTTAAGTCTGCCTCCTGTTTCAATACCCTTTTTGGCAATGTCCATGGTCAACTCCCTTCTGTTTGGACAATTACAGCTAAACATCGATATTTGTTTCCACTTTTCTATTTTTATCCCCCTTAAAGTCACTGGACAGTTGGAGATTAACAATAAAAATTGACTAATTGACATTGACCCAACTAATTTTTGTCGACCTTAACATCGACCAATAAAGTTGACATTGCATAAAAATATTCCCCAACTAACGTTATTTGAAGCGGATTCATTGGAGCGGAAGCCCTTTTTTTCATTCTCATTTTTGTTAATTGGTCAAAATAAAATTATTTTTTTATTATGTCATGGAGCTTCTTCACCTCATATTGATAAACTCCGAATTCATCAACACCCCACCAATCATGATTCAAGACATATGACCAAACAGCTCGAATGAGTGAGCGAAGCGTGAAATTGACTTCACACTTGCTAATTGTTAGTTAAATTTTTTTGTCAGAAAACAATGGAAAAGATAACTTTTAAATGACGAACTTGCCTCTTGACAAAAAAAAAAAAATGACGAACTTGCCTGGTTGAGGGTTCATATGACTTGCACATGTCTTAAGTCTTTTCATCCGGGTCTTTTTTAAATCCTCTGTTTTAGGTGAGAGCACGAAAATCATGGAGTCAATGGTATTGCTCTTTCAGAAAATTAGATAGAGTCGTAAACACGCAACAAATGCTATATAAAAAAAGGGTTATAAGCAATCTAGAATCCACAAAAGATTATGGTTAATTGTTCGCTAAGAAATTACCACAAACCTCGTTGACTAGCTAAGAACAGTGAGCCAGTGAAAACATATAACATGCAAGTTTGCACAATCAATAAGGAAATCCTAAAGAAATCCTATTTGTTATAACGAAAGGCACGATAATGTGCAATTAAACACTATGAAAGTAGAAAATCACCCGAATTCACGTTGAAAAGACGGATTTTGAGTCCGAAAACGACCTCGAATGGATGCCTTGATTTGGCCAAGACATTGCATTTTGAACCAACTTTTCCATTTGGTATCGCAGGCCCCATGACTCCATCTAGATCAAACATTATGACTCGCTCATCGAGTATTGCGCGATTATTCATTTTGAGCCCACCTTTTGGACTACGTTCCAAAAAGTCTTTAACAGCGACGTCCATGTCAAATAGGGACAAGAACTCCAAATTACACCTAGAATACCCAAATCTGATGATCACAACCATAGAGGAACCGGAACCGGGGTGCATAGATTATTATGAAATGAATTGGAGCTCAAACTTATACATTCTCGTGTCAGAAGCTTATGTTAAATCAATTTTGCATGAGCTGCCTTGTCTCCGTAGCTGTGAAGTTTGCCTTACAATCTTTCCCGATTTTTAGCGACAAACTGGAGTCAACGGGAGGTGTTATTCGGGGCATTGGAAGAGCAATTTTCAAGTTCTGTATTGCCGCGTTCTTGTTAATTAAGTCCATCTTCATCGCACAGATGAGTCTGTGCACTGGTATTCTATTAACAAATAAGAGTAGCACATGGGTTCATATTTACGTGTCTATGTCATCCTATATATATGGGTGTGTGAGGATATGAAGGAGGGTACATCAAAAACACGCAGAGAGAGAGAGAGAGAGAGAGAGAGAGAGAGAGAGAGAGAGAGAGAGAGAGAGAGAGAGAGAGAGAGAGAGAATATGGCGGATAGCGGAGCAGAAGAGAAGACGTTAGAGTTCACGCCGTCGTGGGTGGTGGCTCTAGTTTGCTTCAGTATAGTTCTGATTTCTCTTGCTGTCGATAGATTCCTGCTTTGCGCTGGCCAGGTGCCTGTCTTCTTTTGCTCGTATCACCTTTCTAAAGGTTTAGCTCCAATACACCTCTTGGTATCAAAGAACGCTGTGTAACTTTGAGTTTACCGTCGAATTCATGCAGCTTTTAAAGAAGTCCAGATGGGAGCCGCTGTTCGGCGCCTTACGGAAGATCAAAGAAGGTGAAGGATCTACTTTTGACCCCTCCTTTTGACAACGTCAAATTCAGACGGGTGCGAATATGAATTTTACATTAACGTCATCAATGTTGGTGCAGAGTTGATGCTGCTGGGGTTCATATCGCTGCTCCTGGCGGTGTTCCAAACAAGAATAGGGAAGATTTGCATATCGGAGAGGCTTGCCAACGTGTGGCTTCCTTGCAAGAAGCTCGACTCGTCTTCCACCACAGCCCGTTTCACCAATTTCTTTCGGTCCAGTGAAGCACGAGGGCGCCGCCTCCTTGCTGAGGCTGCTGCTTCAACTGATTTCTGCAGTGAAAAGGTAATTTTATTCCACCAGCCTGCCCCGCGAAGCTCTGTCTTCATTAACTTCGTTTATGTGTATTCTACTTATCGTGACAACGGAGATGATATAAGTAATGATAGGGATACAAATGCTAGTATCCTAATTTGTTTATAAAATTGCATGATTTACTGTGAGGTGAACATATCAAATAATCAAAGCGTGTATTTTAAACATTCATCAATAGTCTGTCACATCATTTAATAAATCAGCACAATTAAGTCTCTGCACAACTATAACGTTACGAGAGAGAGATATCGAAAAGATAGCATGAGAAAAATATACAAGGTCTCACAAAGAACATTTTGGTGCAACTTTTATTTTTCCAGGGGAAGGTGCCATTGCTGACTGCTGAAGCACTCCATCACCTGGACATCTTCATATTTGTTCTAGCTACCTTCCACGTGATTCTGTGTGTGTGCAAAATAATGCTTGGATATTGGAAGGTATGGCTTATATACTACATTCTGAATCTCTCCAAACGTATCTTGGACCAATTCTGTGACGCTCGCCTTCCACATTGCTGTGTTCATTAGATACATCGATGGGAAAAATTGGCAGACCCTGATGTTGGGAACAAACAGTATCACGAACTGCCCGACGGTAAGCAAAGACCGTCACATTAGACTTATTTGCTTCTTGAATTTCTGGTACCCAGTGTCTCCGTTTTTTGTGAATCTGACTAAAGTGGTCATATCTATATCGTTCGGACCTGCAGAATCACTTCAGAAGCAACCAGAAAACCGAGGTTGTCTGGCTTTAGGCAATAAACCGAAAGCGCTTGGCTGGATGGTAATAGTCTCTACGAGTCTCTTGATATACAATGCAACAACACTCTTCAGTGAAGAAGTTCATGTGGAGCTATAGGCTTCTCTTTACATATTTTCGTGTCCTGCAGTGTTCATTTTTCAAGCAGTTTTATCCTTCTGTGACTCGGTTCGAGTATCAGGAGCTTCATTTGAATTTTATGGTATGCCATTCTTCTGCAAATGTAGAATTAATTTTCCATCGTAGACTAGTCATGCACTAATTTCGATGAAATGCTTCATACAATAATTTTTCCGTCTTCTTTACAGGCACGGCATTTGGATAAGCGGGGGGAAGCTTTTCACAGCTTTGTAACTGGTGCCGTGAAAAAAGATTTTGAGAAAATTGTTGGAATTAGGTAATTACTAATTAGTACACCTTTGATGCTAACGAAGCATATTTTCTTTCTCTTTTTTGGGATATTTAAACTTGGCGAGCAAGTAATCGAGTTGAAAATGATGGAACAAGAGAGAATACGTCACTTTATCGACAAGAAGGAATTATATTTCCGCTTCAACTATTCCGTTTGTATTTTGTTTTTGGAAAAACAGTGCCTTTCTCTATGTTGATAGATTTACGAAAGAATTGGCAAATGTTTGAATAAAAAAATGGAAACCGGTTATTTGATTTTACGGTGAAATTATTAACTCGTTTTAATGATATGCAAATTATCAACTTTTCTTCTCTTTTATCACAATTTATTTTGCCTTTCTTGTTAATGCTTCACAATAACTAACTCTTATATGAATTTTCCAATTTTTATTTTAGTAACTTATCAATTTTTTTTCCGACTAAATTACCAATTAGTTTTGAATTTATTAACTTTCATTTGTGTTACTTCCCAATGTTTATTTGGTTTTTCTTTTGTTAATTTATTGATATTTTTTACCAACTTTTATTTGTCTTTCTTACAAACTTTTATATGAATTTTCAATATTTGTTTATGTGATTTACTAGCCCTTCTTCATTAGGTTACCAATCAATTTTGATTTATCAACTCTCGCTTGGATTATTTGTCAACTTGCAATTATTTATTTTTTAAAACCTTGCAATACCTCTATTGAGTTACCAACTGTTTTTTGCCTTACTTACTGCCCGTTAAATGTACCAACTAATATTTTTTAGAAATTACAAATCTTAATTAGAGTAATTAATAACTTCTTCCGTTGATTTACCAAATTTTTTTGTCTTGCTTACCAACCCGTTCAATTTATTGACTAACTTTAGAAATTACTAACCTCAATTCAAATGATTATCACCTTAATTCCCATTAAGTTACCATTTAGTTTTGTGTTACCCATTCTTATTTGAGTTAGCTATCGATGTTTATTTGATTTTTCTTTGAATTACAAACTTCCCTTAATTTTGACAAACCAAAAACTTGTAGTGTACCAACTTCCAATTATTTGCCTTTCTTACCAACGACTTAGACTTACCAACTATTGAAGGATTTTACCAACGTTCATTTGTGTCATGTACCAACTATTCTTCAATTAAGTTACTAAATTATTTTTGGGTTACCCAACCGTCCTTTAAGTTTATTAGCAATGTTTATTACTATTCTCTTAAATTTACCAAATTTTCTTTTTTTTTTTGGTCAGAACCAACTTTTCTATTGAGTTGTACAATTATTTGCCTTTCTTGCCAACACTTTACCAAATCCTTTTAGAAATTTCCAATCTCAATTAGAGTAATTAACAACCTTTGTGCGGTTAAGTTATCAATTAGTTTTGCGTTATCAGCTTTTTTTGAGTTAGTACCAACCTCAAATATTGTTTATTTTTTAATTACGAACTCTTCTTATTTCTGCCCCCCCCCCCAAAAAAAACTTATTTTATATTTTACCAATGTTTATTTACCTACTCACGCCTTATATTAACCACCTATTATATGAAATTATCAACCTTTTATATGTGATTACCAACTTTTCTTCGATTAAGTTGTCAATTATTTTTGGTTTATCATAGAGTTGCTTAACAACTTATATTTGTTTCAAAATTTTACAACCTTTACTATTGAGTTACTAGTTTTATTGTCTTGCTTACCAGCCTTTTTTATGATTATATTACCTACTAGTCTTGCATTACTAACTCTTTTATGAGTTTGTTGCCCACATTTATTTGGTTTTTTCTCAACTTACCAACTTCATTTTATTTCTGACAAAAAGCTCTCTTATTTTTTACCAATTTTTTATTTACATTTCTTACCAATGCCTTAAATTTACCAACTATTATGTGAATATATCAACTTTTCATGGAGTGATTTACCTGTTTTTACACTTACCAACCTTTATCGAAGTTTATTTTGACGGAAAAAAAATTCCACATTTTTGGCACTATATAATAGAATTCTGCTATTTAAGTTTGCTTGCCATTCGGAACGTGGTAATGCTGGTGTCTTTTGGGTTGGGTGTAATTGCCACTCCTAATCTCCAAACTCTTCTCATAATTAAGGCCCAATTATTCTCAACTAAACAAAATGAAAAAGAATTGAAAAGCTAGACGTAAGTTTAGTAATCGGAAACAAAGTACTGAATAACTACGGCATTACTGACGGACTTTTCATGGAAGACAGTACGTTATGACTTCTCACAAGAATATATATAGTAAACAGAGAGTGCTGAGCTCTTGGCTTGTTGGTTTCGGTTTTTGGCCATTGCAGTTGGTACTTGTGGATATTCGCAGTGATCTTTTTGCTCGTGAATGTGGCCGGTGAGTGACTTAAGCACAATTCCGCAGCATTGTTTCATTGATGATAGTATTATCATGTCTATCGACTATGTATCTTCTTTCCTTTTGCAGGATGGAATGCGTTCTTTTGGATATCTTTCATCCCCTTGACAGTAAGTAGTGGCAACTTTACTAGTCATTATGTTTGCTTGCCCTTCAAGATATGGCATTTTGCTCATCCTGGAATTTACTCCAGAGATTGGATGTCCCTAAGAAACGTTTTCCATCTGAAGAACAAGATGTGTTGCATTGTAAAATTCTGAAAAATATAAGATGTTTATTTCTCCCACGGAATTAAGGAGACTCCACATGTAACTGGTGCTTCTCACTTCTGTGCAGCTTTTGCTTGTTGCCGGCACCATACTGGAGCATATGATAACACGACTCGCAGAAGATGTTGCCAAAAAGCATCCTGAAAATGCAACCCGCCCTGATTGCAATGTTGTCGAATTTCAAAGTCACTATTTCTGGTTCCGTAACTCTCAATTCGTCCTCAACTTGATTCACATCGTGCTATTCGGGAACTCCTTGGAGCTTTCTTTCTTCTTCTTTATATTGGTGAACATTATTACCCCTCAAATTATCATCCTCATTTCAATTAAGCAAAGTTTCTGGCCATATTGGGGAAATTCCAACTGTATAATGCTTTCTCGTATCTCTATGCAGTTCCAATATGATTTTCACTCCTGCATTATGGGAAAGGTTGGTTTTGTCGTCCCAAGAATCGCAATAGGGTAAGACCTATTGCTCATGTCAATCATATCATTGTTCTATACTCCAAGAGTTGTATAGGGTTAATAATTGAGGCCTAACAATCGATTTCACTTATGTGGCATTTGTCGCACTCTCAGAGTGTTCGTGCAGTTCATGTGCATCTACAGAACATTACCATTATACGCAATTGTGAAATCGCAGGTGAGTTGAGCTTACAACTTACTATGCACTCCAGATTTGGTAGTTTTTGTTTTTTTTTCCCTCTCTTTGAGTATAAATCATGGAACTGAACATGCCGAATTCTTTTTATATGTCTCAATGAAATTAAGATCCCTCCTCCAAAGGAGAAGCAATTGGACAAACAGAACAAAAGTTATCTTCTGAAGGAGAACCAATCGGAAGAATGTAAAGAAGAGCGTCTTGCTGATCTTGATAAAATTAAGATAGGGTTGAAGGAGAATGAAATGGACGAAGAGGAAGAAATGTGGATCGTGACCAAAATTTCGAAGTGGATCGATAAAAGAAAGAACTTAAACAAGGTCGCCGCAAAAAATGGATCGACCCAAACGGATTTGAGAGAGGGATCGGTTGGAGTTGAGACAACAGAATCCGATGACAGGAACTCAAGAGGAGACATTGAAGCACAAGAAAGATAACCAAGCCTGCACCAACATTCGATACAAATGAGATCATATATCTCTTTATTCATGAACTGTTGTTTTCTTTTCCTTTTCGTAATATGAACACATTATAAGAGCTCGAGTCATGCTGCACCATAATTCTATTCTCTTCACTGGTGCTGCTTCTTTTATCCGGAACCGATCGATGAGCATCTGCTAGAGTTGGAAATAATAATAATAGCAATAATATCAAATTTGCGTGTAGTCTGGTCGATCTAAGCAAAGAAAATATTTTTGATCGAATAGAGTGGCTACAGTCGCAACATATAACCCTCACCTGTTTATGTGAAGAATATTATAAATTTTTAAGGAGTTAGAAAATTGGTAATAAAATTACTGGCCACCTGATTCCCCCCACAGCTTATTAAAAATCCTTTGAGACAGTTACGAAGGTGCCCACTTTTTAACAGTTTACAAATCACAAACTTTCTTTTTTTATCTCCTACACCTTTAGATTGTTGTTAAAAAGTGATTTGCAAATTGTTAAAAAGTGATCAAAACGCCCACTTTTTCACAGTTTGCAAATTTGGTCATTGTTAAAAACTGGCGGTTGTCGTTAAAAAGTGATCTGGTCACCGTTAAAAACTGGCGACTGTTGTTGAAAGGAAGGTAAACTGGCGATTGTTGTTAAAAAATGATTTGCGAACTGTTAAAAAGAAAGTTTGCAAATTCCAAGACATATAATTTATGTCTTGGAATTTTGATTTTTCTTTTGCGGGATGGCATGTGTTCTTTATGATATCTTTCATTCCCTTGACTCTGTATTCTGTAAGTAGTTTTTAACCTTTCGGGTCCTCATGTTTGCTTGCCCTTAAAGATATGGCATTTTGCTAATCCTGGAATTTACTCCAGAGATGAGTGTCCCTAAGAAACATTTTAATCTATACGACAAGACGTGTCATACTGCAAATTTTGAAAATACACAGTTGTTTGTTTCTCTATCGGAATTAAGAAGACTCTACATCCTACTGGGTTTCTCGCTTCCGTGCAGCTTCAGCTCATTGCCGGCATCATACTGGAGAATATGATAACACGACTCGCAGACGAGGTCACCCAAAAGCATTCAGCAAGTGCAGACCGCACTCGTAGCCAAAAAAACGAAGAAGACTTGGTTGTCGAATTTTCACCTTACTATTTCTGGTTCCGTAGGCCTCAATTCGTGCTTCACTTGATTCACATTGTGCTGTTTGGAAACTCCCTAGAGCTTGCTTTCTTCTTCTTTATATTGGTGAGCATTCATGTAGCTCAAATTATTTTTTCATTTGTATTGAGCAATGTTTCTGGCCGTATTGGGGGAAGTTCCAATATGATTTTCCCTCCTGCATTATGGGAAAGGTTGGATTTGTTGTACCAAGAATAGTAATCGGGTAAGGCCACTGATTGCTCATATCCTTGTCCTTCGATTATCCCCATGTGCCAGATTAGATCGAAATTCCGAAAGCCGGTTGATGCTCTAGAGTAGATGCTAGAGAATTCCGAATCCTCCTCGAATCGAATGCACCAATCCCTTTTTCCTCTCAAGGTCTTTATTCCCCTTCAGCGTTTCTATCTTCTGGCTTGCATATACTGCCTAGTGCCTAGTGTGCCCAGAATTCTCTCACAGTTTGCTCGAGAATTCTGTGCGAGAGGTTGCTGTTTGTGCCACGAGTTCTCTGTTAAGCGTATGTGCTCTGCCCCCGGAGCTCATCCTCTCTGTTTTTGCTTCTTTTTCTTTTCCGGCAGCTTCCAGTGACCGAGGATATCTCACTCCCCTTGGCCAATTGTCATCTCTCCTTTGTATCTCCGAACTGCACCCCTTTCTTCTCTTTCTCTCTATCTCTGCCTCTTTCTGCACCAAGGCTCTACCTCTCTCCTCTGTTCAGCGCCTGTGCCCTGCCATCTCTTTGCTTCACTAAACCTTCTGCTCTTTCTCTGTTTACTTTCTCTTTTTGGCTTATCCTCGCCTGCACGAATGAGGAGTACTCTTCGTTTTTCTCTCTTCTTGCCAGCACCGACTGAACGTTCCCACTTTGTCATTTTGTGTGCCGATGACCTGCTTTAATCCTCGGTTGCTTTTTTTTTTTATCTCCCTCACGATTGTCTAGCTGAAAGTGGCCTAAACAAGGGCCATTTCGGTGAACAAGAAGGGGGGAACGGTAAGGATGAATTCGGAGAGATGGAGAGGGAGATCGGGCTTGTGGGATCGACCTTAAGTGACAGAATGGGCTTAGGCTTCACCTGGATGTTGGGGCTTTATCCAAAATTCTTGTTTAGGGTGTGTTTGTTTCATGTAAAGTTTTTGGAAAATATTTTCTAGAAAAACTGTTAGTTTTCTTTTATTTGGTAATATATGATCAAAAATGTTTTTTGGGGTTTGGGTATTATTTGGAAAATGATTTTAATCTCATGAATTTTTCTTGGACAAAAAAAATCGATTTTTTATAGTTTATTTAAAAAAATTCGAATTTTATATTATTTTATAATTTTCTTTTCTTTTTCTAAAATTTAGAATTTTTAATTATTATTTTTTCTTTTTTCTTTTCTTTTTTTTCCTATTCTCCGCCGCGACTGGCCGACGACGGCCACAGTCAAGCTCGATGTTCGCCCGATGACAGCCACAGGCGAGCTCGAGCTCGCCAGCCTCGACGGATCTTGGGCTTGCCTGGATTGGCTGGTTGCTGGCCGTCATCGAGGCCGGCGATCGGCAAAGGAGGAAGAAGGAAAATAAAAAAAATAAAAAGAAAGAAAAGAAAAAAGTAAAATAAAATAACATAAAAGAAAATAAAAAAGAAAAGAAAAATAAAAACATTAAAAAATTCAATATAACAATACTGGAAAGTGTTTTCACCTTCTTACATATCGGAATTTACTTTCGTAAATTTATATATGAATATTTTCATTGACCGAAAAGTGTTTTCGGTTGATTGGTCATTTTCCGCGAACCAAACGGACGAAAGTCTAGAAAATCAATTCCCGGAAAATATTTTCTCCAAAATAAACACACCCTTAAATTCATGAAAAACTCCAAGTCAGATTGTGCAATAGGCCTGTTCACGATCTCGCCATAAGTAGATGTTCCATACGGAGATGCCATTCTAGAAATAGGTGCCTAATTTCTAAATGCCAAAAATTGAATAAAGAATGCGAATGCAAGACTATGCCATGTCGATATTTTTTTTAGGGTCAAATTCTATTGCTATCGACAAATTCAATCCCCAATTTTCTTACGAAATGCATGAATACTTTACTAGCTAAAATTTATCTGTCAACGCACAGTATAGCACATCAACTCGATGAAAAGTTTTTGGATGATTCGGGTGTTTAAGAGCCTATTGCATCTCAGTTGTTGAGTTTTTTTTTTTTGGTCAGACAGTTGTTGAGTTATATGCCCGTCTTGATCACGTCACTCAAAAATTTGATCACGTGATTCAACAGGCGAGATTGACTAGGCTCATGTGCACTCAATTTATGAAAGTATTGCCCCAACGTGACTCACAAACTGGAGCAAAAAATTGAAAGAAGAAAAATGTGACTCACGAGTCATGTGCAAGTTAAGAATATTTCGTGTGGTCTTTGTTAGAAAAGGACAAAAAAGAGGAACATTACCTACTGTCCAAGCTGAAAAAATAAGGGAAAAATATAAAAATGATCACGTCAATCAAAAAGTTGATCACGTGATTCAACAGGTGAGATTGACTAGGCTCATGTGCACTCAATTTATGAAAGTATTGCTCCAACGTGACTCACAACCTGTAGCAAAAAATTGAAAGAAGAAAAAAGCGACTCACGAGCCATGTGCAAGTTAAGAATATTTCAGTTAGGGTATTTGTAAGAAAAAGACAAAAAAGAGGAACATTACCTGCTGTCCAAGTTGAAAAAAATAAGGGAAAAATATAAAAATCACACCTTATCTTTTACCCATTGACCACTTATATACATCTACATTAGAATATACTCAATACCTGGTTCAGTTTTTCCTTTGAAGGCTACTTTCACATCAATTTTTCTTGTATCCTTATTTATGAAAGTGTCATTTTCTCCAAAAAAACGAAAAATCCAAGCCTAAATCCTAAATTCTCACACCCATTCAAAATATTCAAAACCAACTAAAACCAAACCACCCAAATCCTTAGAAATATGCTAATAAATCGAGTTTGCAAGGAGGGGCAATTAAGTCATTTCAAAGTAGGGTTTTGCTTAAAGGTATGTGAATGGTATTTGCCTAAATAGAGGTTGTAAGCAGTCACTGGATAAATGGTAAGATATGTTTTTGGTATATTCCCCATAAGAAAAGGACTCAGTCTAATATCAATGTAATCCCCGCTATACAAAATTGAACAACAAAATGACACACTGATTTATAGAAGAAATGACGCAACAAACTTTGATTAGCTACTTGAACAAGTCAGTAATGTTTAAATATTCGATAAAGATGTACCACGTGGTTCACAACTCGGTTTCAAAACTAGTTTTATATTTTTAGTATTAATAAAAAGAAGGGACAACACCAACATTTAGTTCTGTAACTCTTAATCAATGTTCAATTTGGTCGTAAATTTAATTTTGGTCAAATTAATCCTTGTGCTCTTTGATTCGAATCAATTTTTGATATGGTTTTGCAAACGAGGAATTAATCCTCATATAATATTTTATGACTAATATGATTAAACAATACCGATCCATTCTTTAGCAAATATATATGGTTTTGTTAGATAACGTGGATTTTCGATTTTTCAGATCAATATACTTTTATGAATGCATGCAAACCACCCTATTCATGTGTATTAATTATATAGCATCGTATAAGACTCCATCTATAAAATGGTGAGCACAGTCCTCAGATTATTCCAAGTGAGAAACACTAGGGTTTGAATATGATTCCGTTGTATATTTACAAAACGTTTAGCTCTTAAGCCAATTTGTCGAGTGTTGAATGATTTTGATAATTCTCGTTTGAATATTTTTTTGGCATTTCGCAGAGTTACTGAATTCTTTGACTAGGTTGATCTATCTTGGATTGATGTAAAATCACTGGATATATAAAGAGAGTAACTATGTATAAATTATAAATTTGAACCATTTATTAGTCAAGTTTTGTATACTTGAAAGGGTAAGTAGACACAACTAGCGTGATTACCTCCTTTGAACGTAACCCACACATAATTACAAATTTGGCTTATCGGATTCTCAATTTTAAGTTGGTTTAAGACGACTTTTCTAGACATGGAGGATAACCTACTTATCCTATGCAAGCATGCTAATATGATTTGCTAGATAATATCATATTCATTAATAATATTAATAGTCTTGTTTGATGTGGTATCACAAAACATTTCACTAAACTAATCGTAGATACTAAGGGTGCGAATGATAACTATAATGTTTCTTTGTTTTTCTATTTTTCTATTCTCAGGAACAAGTTTAGAACATAAATCCATCTTGGTAATGCAGTTTCATTTTTTATTTTCGGGACAAATTTTTAGCTTGAATATAAATGAGAAGTAGAAATTTTCTACTTTTCTATTTCTGGAATAGAAACATAAATAAAAACTCTTCTCATCGGTCACCCTCGCCGCCCGCGGTCGCTGCCCATCCCCCGTAGCTGCGACCTGCCAGTCGCTGCCTACTGTCGCCCGTTGCCGGCCGCCACCCTTTGCTGCCTGCCGTTGCTTGCCGCCCGTCGCCACCTCTCGCTCGTCGCCTCTCGCTGCCCTTTGCTTGCTGGCTAGCCGCCCGCCCGCCCTCCGCCCACCTGCCTCAAAATTTAAGGCTTATAAAATGAATTTATGTTTTGTTCTGGGAACATAAATTTGGTGTTGTTATCAAACGTGTTTCTCTGCTCAAAAACTCATCCGGGGAATAGAAAGAGGAGATTTTATTTTTGGCCATAAATTATTGTCGAAAACAAAATGGTTATCATTGCGCCCTAAAGTTTCAGAAATGGATGTGCAAGTAGAATTAACATAGTATCGATTTGGCAATAAAGTATTAACCCGACAGAAAAGTAATAAGCATCATCCATGCATGAGATACTTTTCTTCTGCCATTCAATGCACGAGATACCTTAGTTGTGTTCGTTTGTGGAATAATTGGTTCACTATTCTTTTACCTTCTTGGCTTTTTGAATATATACTTTCCTTTGATAAACAAGCAAGGAACCATTTCCATATGAACGCATATGGGATAATTACTTAGTCAGTCTTAGGCTCCATTCGTTTGGCGGAAAATATTCTCCTTTTGGAAAATATTTTCCCGGAAGTCATTTTCTTGGAAAATGTTTTCTCGGAACATAATTTTCCAGTGTTCGGCGACCAATATGAAAAAATTTCGAAAATATTTTTCGCCGGCGGCAATGGCGACCGACGGCCGGGCGGCGGCTGGGCGACGGCGGCGGCCGGCGGCCGCCTGCAGTGGCGGCCGGCGACCGAGGCCGGCGGCCGTCGGCTTGTGGCGACCGGCGACCGACGCCGGCGACCGGCGGGGCGGCCGCGACCGGGCGGGCGGGATGGCGACCGGCGGCGGGCGACCGGGCGGCGGCCGGCGACCGGCGGCAGCGGCCGGTGACCTTAGTGAAAAAGAAGAAGGAGAAGCTCCGGAAAATGATTTCCGCTTTTGAAGAAGCGGAAGTCATTTTCCATAGACTTAGGCTATTTTGTGAGGGGGGAAGGAAAATATTTTCCCACGGAAAACGTTTTCCGCCCCCCGAACACCGGAAAACCCGGAAAATATTTTCTGGGAGAATATTTTCCGCCAAACGAACGGAGCCTTAAACTTATTTATAGATGTCAATTAAGTCCTAAAGTTTTTTCATTTTGCTAATGTAGTTCTATGCCTTTGTGTGAAATTCCATGTAGTCTTTTCGGCCAATTGCCGCCGGAAATTATTGACGTAAAAACTCGAATTATTCATTTGTTGCCACAAATTTCAATGTAGTCCTAACCATCATAATACTCGTTCATCAAGTGTTGCGCGAATTTTTGTTCTCGCCTGTCCTTTTGAAACTCGATGTTGCTCAATTTGAGCAGCTTCAATTAATTAGGCCCCGTTTTCACCCTCTATTTAGTCTATTCCCTCCTCCTCGGACAATCACGGTTAAACATCAATTCGTGTAATTGGTGGCATGGACATTAGTTTTCACTGTTGACTAATTGATATATTGACTATTGGCGTTCAACAAGACAAAACTCACTCCACCTGATGAGTTTATCTGAGAATTATAGTTTTTTTTAGACATCGGAAGAGAAGTCATGTTCCTCGTAGGTTCGCTTGGGTTTTGTCTAATAAAACAAAAAAGGAAATCGTCGACGTGTGTGTGAACATCACGTAAACATCTTCGTGGGCACATCACTCTATATATGTGTGCGCGCGCGAGAAAACATACCACATGAGAATTTCAAGGAGAGGCATCAAAAACACGCGCATACGAGCGAGAAGAGAGAGAGAGAGAGAGAGAGGGAAAATGGCGGTTGCGGGAGGAGATGAGACATCGTTAGAGTACACGCCGACGTGGGTGGTGGCTCTAGTGTGCTTCAGCATAGTGTTCATTTCTATCACTGTTGATAGATTCTATCATTGCGCCGGCCAGGTGATTGCTCGTGCATCCTAAGGTCCGAGAGTACGGACCTCTCCTAAAGTCGAACTCGGGCATGTCAATCGCGACGCCGGCAATTCTCTAACTCAAGTTTCCTTGTCGAATGTAGCGTTTGAAGCAGCACAAATGGTGGCCGCTCACCGGAGCCTCACGGAAGATCAAAGATGGTAAGGGATCTCTCTCTCTCTCTCTCTCTCTCTTTTGTTTTTTTCTTTGACTATTTCACAATACTAATGTGCAAGCACATGAATTCTTTTCTTTATTATCTTTTTTTTTGGTTTTTTGGGTTACAACGACCCTCGCAGAATTTGATGCTGCTGGGTCTCATATCGCTTCTCTTGACAGTAGTCCAAAATAGAATAGGGAAGATTTGCATATCAGAGCGACTCGACAATGTCTTGCTTCCTTGCAAGAAGTCCGACTCTTCTTCCGCCGTTGCCAATTTCACTACTAGTTCCTTCGCTTCCAGTGAAACACGGGGACGCCGCCTCCTTGCTGCGGCTTCTGATACTATGGATTACTGCAGTCAAAAGGTAACTTTACCAGAGCTGCTGCTCCTTCTTCTATAATTATAGAGATCTTAAAAATGCAAAGGCAAGTTTAAAAGATCGATATACAAAATTATATGTAAACTGCAAACGGATATTAACTAAGTCCAATAGTGTTTTGTGACTGATTAAGAGTCCGACCGCATCATTTATTACACTAATTTTCTATACAAGTCTTTGCACATCTCCAGCGTTAAGAGAGATCTGAAGACTACGGCAAATTGGTACGAAGAGAATATTTGGTGCAACTGTTTTTTCTTTCCTTCTTTTCAGGGGAAGGGCCATTCTTGTCTGTTGAAGCAGTCCATCAGCTGGACATTTTCATATTTGTGCTGGCTACCTTTCACGTTGTCCTCTGTGTGCTCAAAGTAATACATATGGTGTGCCACGAACTCCTTGTCACTTCAACTCTATCTTTCTGCTACTTTCTGTTGCTTCTGCTTACGACTTTCCCTCCGATATTGTAAAAGAATATATCGTATTTAAGTTTCGAAAGAAACATGAAAGTATTTGTATGTGATTCCACGTGGACATTGGTCGATATTTCAAAAGGCTTCTGAGTGTTTGAGTAATCCTTTTTGCGACTTTTCCAATTTTTACAAAAAGTTAAAGTTGAAAAGGAAAATTCGTCTAAATTATAAAAATCACTAAAAAAAATTAGAGGTATCTCTTGGATCAATTTTTTAACGTTAGTTAATTTCGTCCTTCCATACTGTTTAGATACTGCAATGGAGCAATCTGGAGATATATGACAAAAGGATCAAAAAATATGACATCCAAAAAGGTGGTAACGTTGGTGAGTGCATCCTCCTCAAGCAATGCTGTAAAAAGGAGGAGAAGATGAATGATCTCACTCCCTCAAAATTCTTGTGCAGTCTCCATTTTTATTTTCTAATCTGATGGAGAGGTATGTCTATTCTGTGTGAATCTGCAGTACTCACAAAGATTCGGGAACATTATAACAGCCGACTTTACTTCTTCAGAACTTTGGTAAGTCATTGAGTCTCTTGAAGCTCCCCGCGAGTGCAAAAGAGTCTTGCAAAATCAAGCATATCTTTGCGACCTCAACTATCATCCAATTTTCAAAATATTCCACAGTATAATTTCATTGGATCATACTAAACTTCAACGTTAGTTATGTGGATTTTTATGATTTTCTCTTTTCGGATATTTCAACTATCCATCTCTGTTCACGAACACAGTATGCATGTTTAAATGTATCAAGTTAAGGGTGTTTAGAAACTTGGAATGAGCAATACTTGCTACAATTGTTATGGAATGCGATATTTATGATTACCTGGAAGGAAGAGTTGTTTGACGATAGGCCCAACATTGTCTTGCATTTTGCTCTTCAGCTCTTGCCAAGTCTGCAGAAAGCGTATACTTCTTTGACCGAGTATGAGTACATGGCTCTTCGTCAGAACTTCATGGTACATAGAGGACATTCTTCAGCTGAAATTTTAGCTTTGGTCCTCGTTGTGATACAATTGGCCTTGAAATGGTTAATTTACTTGTCATTTCTGTCGTGTCCGCAGGCATGTGATCCCAAGGATCCAGGGAAAGGTTTTCAGAAGTACCTAATGAAGACTTTGCGAAAGGATTTTGAGAAAATGATGGTAATCAGGTAAAACGATAACCCTTCATACAAAGCTATTTAATTAGGCCTGGTGAGCATTGAATGGAACAGAAAAGGATGAAATAAGAGAGAAGAAGATTTTCCTTTTTTCTTTACAAGAAAGAACTACTTCATTCGAACACGTCAAATTATTCGTCCTAATCTAAAGGCACTACTATATATGTTAATTAAGTCGCCTCACTTTTGGCCGAAAATGTTATCGGATCGACCAATCGTTCTCCGACATTACTAAATTCGTGAAAAACAATACAATATGACTTTTCCAGGAAAATATTACTTAAAATATCAGAGACATACTGATTTGCATTTTTATCAATATCGCAGCTGGTACTCGTGGTTAGTTGCAGTGATTTATTTGCTCGTGAATGTAGCCGGTAAGCACATATATGCGTACTTATTCTGCATAGTAACTATTTCAAAATTTGTTGCTCTTAAATCATGTCTTGCGTTTGAGCCCGTGAAGGAAACATGATCCAACTAGTATTTCCAAAATCCAAATTGGACTTGTGGTATGATGTCCGAACGAGTTAGAAACTATTGAACTACTTTCCATGTTAAAGTTGGATTCGTAGTTTGAGTAGGCTTTCTAGTTTGAGTTGGCAAGTCACATAAGAACATAAAAAAATGTAATTCTTATTACTCACTATAGCAAACAAGATTAGTGTTAGGGTTTTCTCTCTATAAGTCTTCTGAATGAGTTATTTGTGAGTGATTGTGAGATCACACTTATGGGTTTTACTTTAGATGTAACCAGAGTTAGGAAACGCTTGAACAGTTGAGCGATTGTAATCTCTATATTTTTTGGATTCATAGTGGATTTCTTTGCGATTAGCTCTCCTCATGGGTTAGTTACTTTGGTGTTTCTTGTTGATTTCTTTGCTAATTTCTTCTTCTCATATTAAATATGAATTACAAAATCCATTAGCTTCCCCATTATTTTATAAGAGCGACTATCATAGAGCAAAAGATTTTTGGTAAAGCAACTCCGGTTTGAGTGCCAGTAAAGCGGATCACGCGGTCTTCTCGAGAACGGCAGTGACTTAGGTAGATAAACATTCTAGTACTAAAATGATCGATTCTTATTACGCCTAGAATTAAGCCTAATACGCATCGTGATATATCAATTAAAGGAAAAAAGAATTGAGTGAAACAGTGTTATTCTAATATAAGGAAAATTGCCATTAAGGATGAGCAAATCACTAGTGACACTGAAAATATTATTTTGGATCTTATGTTACTACATTATAATTCACATGAACAGATTCTACAGCGAGTCTTCCTATTCGAAACCAGAAATAGGCATGTCAAACTGGTTTTGTCTGAGTGTCTGCAGAAAAGAAGTGACGTTTTTCCGCAATCAAAGTTCAACTTACCGAATAAAATCCCTATTAATCCTGATTAAGCTCGACTGTATCTCTCTTTCTTTATTTGCTTTTGACAATAAAGACTTCATTGTTGGAATCCATTTCTTTGTACAATTCTTGCAGGATGGCATGCGCACTTTTGGATATCTTTCATTCCATTTACTGTAAGTAGTGATAAAAACTCTCCTTTGAGTCATTATGTCTTGCAAATTCCAAATGAATCTTGATGAAAAAAAAGATGAGTCTATTTTTGTATCTAATTAGGCATTCTCACTAATGCTGCGCAGCTTATGTACATTATCTACGTGAAATTGGAGGTCATGGTAGTGCAACTCGCCCGACAAGTGGCCGAAAAGCATACACAAAACGAAAATGAGTCTAGCAAAAATAGTGCGGAGGGGTTGGTTTTTGAATTTTCAAAAGACGATTTCTGGTTCGGTAGGCCAAATTTGATCGGCAACCTGGTTCACACCCTGCTATTTTTGAACTCTTTGGAGCTTGCTTTCTTCTTCTTTATATTGGTGAGTATAAATGACTCAAAATGTCATTATCATTAGTAATGTTAAGGAAAGTTTCCAGCATACCGGGAAAATGCCAACTAATGCGCTATCACATCTCTATGCAGTTCCAATATGGTTTTCACTCCTGCATTATGGGAAAGATTGGTTTTGTTGTCCCAAGAATAGTCATGGGGTAAGACCTATTGCTGATGTCAATTATATCATTGTTCTATAATCTGTGTGTTGTACATGATTAATGACCGGGGACTGACAATCAATTTGGCCTCTATGGCGTTTGTTGCACTCTCAGAGTATTCGTCCAGGTCTTGTGCATGTCCAGAATATTACCACTATACGCAATTATCAAATCACAGGTGAGTTGAACTTACGACCTATTATGCACTCAAGATTTGTTAGTTTGTTCTTTTCTCTCTTTGAGTTCAAATCTTGGGACTGAAGATGTCACATTGTTTTTATTTGACGCAAATGAAATTAAGGTGCATTTGAAGGAGAAGCAATCGGACAAACATAATATTGAGAAAATTAAGATGCTTTTGAAGGAGAACCAATTGGACGAACTTATAGAGGAGTGTCTTGATGATCTCGATGAAATAAAAATACGGTTGAAGGAGAATGAAATGGACGAAGAGGAAGAAATGTGGATCGTGATTTCAAAGTGGATTGATAAAGGAAAGAAGCCAAGTTCAACAGAGGAGGCCACAAATATTGAATCGACCCGAACAGATTCGACAGAGGGATCTGTTGGAGTTGAGATAACAGAATCCGGTCACATGAATTCAACCGGAGACATTGAAGCACAAAATAGACAACCCAGCTTGCACCAACATTGAAAACAAATGAGATCGCGATTTGATTTATTTATGAAATTACGAGATAACTCTTTTATCTCTAGGCAAATACTATTAGGGCGAAATGTAACTACTACAGGTTACATCTATCTTAGGCGAATGCAAGTAAAAAAGGAACTCTCATTTCATATAATTGTCTAGTTACAATAGGCAAAAGAACTGCCACTCTGCAATAAGATGGGTCAGGTATGTTCCGAGAGTATGGACAGCTGAAGTTGGAGGGAAAAAACACTTTAAATTGGTTCCAGTAGTTGCATTGCTCGATCAATTTCAACATGAAGAAGACCCACCTATCTTTCTTGTCAATATCACATTTTCTACTTGGTCAATAGGAAATATATAGATGTTACTTTCCAGAATGAAAGAGATTAACACAAGGGACCGTTTATGAGGCTCAACGATGATCCAGCTTCTGAAATTGGCCATTCCAAAACTGTAAATTCCTTCGTTCGTGCTCATTAAAAAGGTAAATAAGGCCATGATGACAAAGAAACAATCATATTTATGAGGAAATGTTTTGGGATTATCGCTTAAAAAGGTAAATAAGACCAATGACTCGATTGCGGAAGATTCACTAGATCTTACATGATCTTCTTCACTTCTGCAATTAAACTAAAACGTTGTAAGAAATGTTTCAGACTAGAAGCAGCCATCAAACACCAACATGCTTAAATTAGAGATACAGACGCATTCCCACAGCCAAAATCAAAACACAAAGAGCCTATCAAGAGACAACGGAACCTCAGCAGAATCCCAAAATGATTGTACATCTGAATTTTTTTTAGGGTTCAAACCACAAAAATCCCAAATTGGTACATCGGTGACAAATTTACTCAAAACTAATTTTTTAACCACAAAAAACTCCAAATTAGTACATCTATGACAAATTTACCCCAAACTAATTTTTTGACCACAAAAAACCCTAAACTGATATACTTGTGATAAATTTACTCTCTGTTAGTTTCCGTTAAATTGAATTAATATCACGAAAAATGACTAATCTGTACACTTGTGACAAACGGAGGGTAAAATCCTAAATTGATACACCCGTCAACTGTCACGTGTCATCAAACTTAGCAATTTCATGGTAAAATTTAATGAAAATTAACGGAGGGTAAATTTATCACAAGTATACCAGTTTGGGATAAATTTGTCACAAGTGTATCAGTTTGGGATTTTTCGTGGTATTGACCCACGCTCCTTTTTTAGTGTATGTTTTTTTTTTTTTTTTCCAGTTTGACTATGTGGTACGGGTAGAAAAGGATAACATATTGTTTACCAAGAAAATAATTTTTTGTTTGATTGCTTTAGAAGGAAAGAATTGGTGCGACCATAGCCATACCATTTTTAAATTACGGTTATGTGGACTGAGAAAAAAATTAGTTAGCCTATCTCACACTTAGGATTCGAGGACAATTACCGAAAAAGTCCTAAACCTATTAAAATTGTGCCAATTCAGTTGTAAACCTTTTTCTTTTTCCAATTCAGTCCTAAACCTTTTGCATTTGCAACAATTCAATCCATTTAGCAAATTTTGGCCGGTCGGCGCCGATGTAGACATTGGCCGACGCCGGCCATTTGACAGATGCTGACATGACAATTTTTAATTTATTTTTTCCAAATTTATTTATTTATTTTCTTTTCTTTTGTCGCGACCTGCCTTCGCTCGCTCTGGAAGGAGGAAGGCGTCTAGCCTGGATGCGCTGAGTCTAGGTCTATGACTTAACTCGGGCTCCCCCAAAGTCCATACCATATCACCATTTGTGGTTTAGGTTTTTAACCTGCAAGTGATTTTTATCGAGGAGTCGCTACTAATTAGTTTATGGTGGATCGATTAGACACCTAAATAAAGCAGTGGGAGAATTGCCTTACATCTGCGAACAAAAAATTAAATGATTTCGGAGACTTGATTACACTAGTTGAGTAACTAGTGCTCTTTCGGTACCTTTTATTCTGTTCATTTAAGAAAATATTTATCATGCATTTTGAATTGATTTTAGGATCTATTTTCCAACATGTGATGTAATCAAACGAGTGTACAAGCATTAATGATTAGCAGTCAAGATAGATATGCAGCATAGGATTCTAATCTTAACTAGGAAAACGACATTCAACACATAACAATTCATGCAATTATATACTAATTAGAAATAATAGGCATAACAATAATACAACAGTAGTAAAATTAACACCCGAAATCCTACCGTATAGCCCTATAAGCTTATCCGATTTAGACATGATTATTAATAAAATAATTCACATAATTTAGAAAAATATTAAAAAATACTAATTTCTAAACTATTTTCTACTTAGATAATTTAAAAAAATCAATTATATATATTTTTATTTTTTTAAAATAATATAATATTAATATCAAAATAGACTGGGTCGGGTTGGGTCGATGGATCCAAGTCGAGTTAGAATTGACCCAAGTCAACGGACTCGACCCAAGCTCGTTGACCCGGGTCCTGAACCGGATTGGGCCCAGCCTGCTGGAAAAGGACAAAATAGGGCCGGTTCGACAGTGTCAAACCGGCCCTATTTGGCCTGCAGATCGATCCGACCGGGTCTGCCAACTGGTTTAGGCCAAATCCCTGCCCTTTCACAGCTTCTACGATTTGATTCAGTTCGTATCTCGGTTCGGTTTTTCGATTTGGTTCTAACACCCCTAGTTGATGGTTTCTTCACTTGTGACAGCTCTTTCCTCCACCTCCATTTCTTTGGCACTACCATTGACGAGCTCTCTCTCTCTCTCTCTCTCTCTCTCTCTCTCTCTCTCTCTCTCTGGCTTCTCCATTTGTATCGTGGATGGTCTGTGCTCTATCTTTCTTCCCGTCTTCATCCTTTGTTGGATGTCCCTATTGTCTCTTTGTCCCTCTCGGCTTTCCAGTGTCGCATAGTGACCAATTAGTCGATGTGAATTGGAGAATTCATTTAATTATTGAGGGAAGCAGAACTTTCATGCTATTTCCTAATCTCCCTTCCAACTTTTAATTCCGTTCCCTCTTAATTGGGAGACCTAATGACATCTCTCTCTCTCTCTCTCTCTCTCTCTCTCTCTCTCTCTCTCTCTCTCTATCTCTCTCTCTGGCTTCTCCATTTGTGTCGTGGATGGTCCGTGCTCTATCTTTCTTCTCAGCTTCATCCTTTGTTGGATGTCCCTATTGTCTCTCTGTCCCTCTCGGCTTTCTAGTGTCGCATAGTGACCAATTAGTCAATGTGAATTGGAGAATTCATTTAATTATTGAGGGAAGCAGAACTTTCATGCCATTTCCTAATCTCACCTGCCAACTTTTAATTTCGTTCCCTCTTAATTGGGAGACCTAATGATCTCTCTCTCTCTCTCTCTCTCTCTCTCTCTCTCTCTCTCTCTCTCTCTCTCTCTCTCTCTCTCTCTCTCTCTCTCTCTCTGGCTTCTCCATTTGTGTCGTGGATGGTCTGTGCTCTATCTTTCTTCTCGTCTTCATCCTTTGTTGGATGTCCCTATTGTCTCTCTGTACCTCTCGGCTTTCCTATGTCACATAGTGACCAATTAGTCAATGTGAATTGGAGAATTCATTTAATTATTGAGGGAAGCAGAACTTTCATACCATTTTCTAATCTCACCTGCCAACTTTTAATTCCATTCCCTCTTAATTGGGAGACCTAATGACATCTCTCTCTCTCTCTCTCTCTCTCTCTCTCTCTCTCTCTCTCTCTCTCTCTCTCTCTCTCTCTCTCTCTCTCTCTCTCTCTCTCTGGCTTCTCCATTTGTGTCGTGGATGGTCCGTGCTCTATCTTTCTTCTCAGCTTCATCCTTTGTTGGATGTCCCTATTGTCTCTCTGTCCCTCTCGGCTTTCTAGTGTCGCATAGTGACCAATTAGTCAATGTGAATTGGAGAATTCATTTAATTATTGAGGGAAGCAGAACTTTCATGCCATTTCCTAATCTCACCTGCCAACTTTTAATTTCGTTCCCTCTTAATTGGGAGACCTAATGATCTCTCTCTCTCTCTCTCTCTCTGGCTTCTCCATTTGTGTCGTGGATGGTCTGTGCTCTATCTTTCTTCTCGTCTTCATCCTTTGTTGGATGTCCCTATTGTCTCTCTGTACCTCTCGGCTTTCCTATGTCACATAGTGACCAATTAGTCAATGTGAATTGGAGAATTCATTTAATTATTGAGGGAAGCAGAACTTTCATACCATTTCCTAATCTCACCTGCCAACTTTTTATTCCGTTCCCTCTTAATTGGGAGACCTAATGACATCTCTCTCTCTCCCTAGCTTCTCCAATTGTGTCGTGGATGGTCTGTGCTCTATCTTTCTTCTCGGCTTCATCCTTTGTTGGATGTCCCTATTGTCTCTCTGTCTTTCTCGGCTTTCCAGTGTCGCATAGTGACCAATTAGTCAATGTGAATTAGAGAATTCATTTAATTATTGGGGGAAGCAGAACTTTCATGCCATTTTCTAATCTCACCTGCCAACTTTTAATTCCATTCCCTCTTAATTGGGAGACCTAATGACATCTCTCTCTCTCTCTCTCTCTCTCTCTCTCTCTCTCTCTCTCTCTCTCCTGGCTTCTCCATTTGTGTCGTGGATGGTCTGCAGGCTCTATCTTTCTTCCCGTCTTCATCCTTTGTTGGATGTCCCTATTGCCTCTCTCGTCCCTCTCGGCTTTCCAAAGGTCGCATAGTGACCAATTAGTCAATGTGAATTGGAGAATTCATTTAATTATTGGGGGAAGCATAACTTTCATGCCATTTCCTAATCTCACTTGCCAACTTTTATTTCTGTTCCCTCTTCATTAGGAAACCTAATGACATCTCTCTCTCTCTCTCTCTCTCTCTCTCTCTCTGGCTTCTCCATTTGTGTCGTGGATGGTCTGTGCTCTATCTTTCTTCCCGGCTTCATCCTTTGTTGGATGTCCCTATTGTCTCTCTGTCTCTCTCGGCTTTCCAGTGTCACATAGTGACCAATTAGTCAATGTGAATTGGAGAATTCAT